ATATAATGAAATATTTGACCAACGCTGTCCGAGGATGCTTGTTGAATATGAAATGAAATTTTATTTGATTTCATGCACGTGGAAATTTTATATGAACTTTATTTTCATATTATTTTAAGCCAGTATGATGAGTAAGAATTGAATAGTTGCCGATACATTACGTATTACGCAAATAATCGTCAGCGTAATTTTTTGTCTAATCGTTATTGCCGCAATCCCTGTACAAATTCATATTGTCCCGTATTCGTTTGAAAATAGCTTGTGTTTCGGCAATATTTAACTGCTTTTACATCATGAAAACCTACGTAGTACATACAATCTTACGAATATTATAAATGCGAATGTTTATATGGATCTTTATTTGAAGGTATCTCCAGAACGGCTGAAAGGGTCTCGATAAAATTTGGCATACATATAGAACATAGTCTGGAAGAACACATAAGCTACCAATTATCTTGTTTTTGGAGCGGACGAATTCGCGGGCGACCGCTAGTAAACAAATAATAGAATTGTGAACGCTTTTAAAAATTAATATGAACATTTTAATTGTTCGTGTCAAAAACTAATTTTAATTACTTCGTCCATCAACTTTAACAAAGTCCTTCAGGATGAAATCCCTAATCATAAAGTAACACCATCTGGAGCATAAAATTAAGTTCTTTAGAGAAATTTTGAAGGGTTCTAACGCAGCTGCTTCTATGTCCGTTCATTGGCAGTTATTATTTAATGAACTGATAATTTTAATTTAATAAATTTAAATAATTTAAAACAATCACTTACTGTTGTACTTAGAAATATTAATTGGTCAATTAGGGGTTAACTTAGTGTAGCTTACATGCTAAGTGAAAGATTAAGTCATCATCTCACAGGTTTTGCGACAGATTAAGTAATCATCAAATTATGCTTAGCAAAGAAATTACTGTAAGAATCTCGTACCGAATCTACACTTAGGGACGCCTTTGAGAACGTTTAAGGACTATGAGTGATTAACAAGTTTGTGCCCTCAACTCGCATCCCGCTATAACGATGTTCTAAAACCACTTATATTGTTTTAATCTCTTTGATCAAAATATTGTAGAGTGATTTAAAAATAAATGGCGATATTTATAAGTACTGCATTACTTAATTACACTCTGAAGATGTAACCATGTAAATTGAAGACTTGACGCCTACTCGTTCTATAAATAAAATATTAAAATTTGAAGTAAAATAAAAAAAAATGAGAAGGCACTGTCTCCTGAAAGTTTCAACTAGTTCCGGAGATAGAGGCCACAAAATTTTGTGAAAAACGTTTTTTCTTTGTCCAATAAAGAATTTTTATTTTATTTTTCCAACTAAACTTCAGTGAAATGTCGATGCCGAAAACTCAGTGAATAAACAACATCTATCACGCTGCAGGTTACCCGCCGTACACTTATAACTATTTATATCTCCCCTGAGTGTTTTCTATGTCACCCAGTAAACATCTTATCAAAGAACATTTTTTAAAGTTTAATGGATTTGTATACTCCGACAACCTGTGAACAAAATGAAAGTTGTACAGTATTTTTTTTTCTGAATTTTTAAAGGTAAGTGATTTTTTTTCCGGTTACATTTTTCTTTTTTATTCCTTGAAAGAATAGTTGTCACAAGTGTGTTAGTTCTATTAGGTTATATATTCTTGAAAGATGTGCATGATCTTGTCGTCTGTTTTATCTTTTTTTTAAAATGTAACTACATTATGTTTTGGCGGGGAAATCTGTTTCCCCTTCTTTTCTGTTTAGGCAGTTAAGCATGTTTTTGGCACCAGGCTTTAAAGAAGTTAGAATGTCGAGTGCTATGCCTAACGAAGCATTATAAATTAATTTTAACAGGCGGCAGCTTTCCGAAATTGTTTAACGAACTAAAAATAAATTGAAAGAACTTAAGAATAATATATTAAGCATACTTAATAAAATAATGAAAACACAATGTACTGTACTGTACGAAATTTCATCATATTTATAAATTTTAATAAAAATATAAAATGTTTCCATTAAAATTTTTATATTTTTATTAAAATCTTGAGACAGTATATTCATGCTGGGTTTCTATAGATTAGAAACTTGACATTTAACTAAAAATCATTAAACATATAACTCAGCAAGGAAATAAACAATACTAGCTGTCGCCCGCCACTCCGTCCGCGCGTAATTAAAAAAAACTTAATAAGTAGCCTATTTGTACTTCTAGAGTATGTTCTACATCTATGCCAAATTTCAGCGAAATCTATACAGCCGTTCTAGAGATACCTTCAAACAGACATCCATACAACCAAACATACGCATTTACAATATTATTATAGTAAGATCTATTAAATATCAGTTGTAAGCCTCGGTACCTATGTATCCTATAATGACTTCGTTTGCATTACTTTTTATTCAATTTTAATATTTTATTAATTTTTGTCAGAACATTCAACGAAGTTATTTGTACGCCTTTGTTTGCAGTATTTTAATAGAAAAAAAAGAAATGATTCGTTACAACAAACAAAGTGGGAGTGCACGTGAAGCCTTGGTGTGACTGAACAATGGGCGGCGGGGCGTCTGTTTTTTATTACACACTGTCGGTGATAAAAATCCTTGTGTACGTAAATAAGCAAGACCGAAAATTTAAGCGTTTACTTTCGCTTAAATAACTTATTTCTATAACATATAGATATTTTTACTTGTTGTTTTAAATTAATAATAATATTTTTTCTGTTTAAGTACGAATAATAATATTTCTATTCCATTCTTGTGTTTAATAAGATGCAGCTACCTTTTAACGCTATCTTAAAAGAATTTTAGGTACTGTACATTTCAGATATATTGGCGGCTCTGAATATCGCGCGAATCGCGTGTTCTGTGACACAATTTTTGGTGTAGCGTGGTGTATCGGGATGCGGGGAGAGGGCACTGTGTAGCGCACCGATTACCTTGGGCCGCCAAGACATTTGATAAGAATGATAAGATCCTTTAGAAACAAGGAATCAAATTATTGTAAAAAAAAATCATTATTATAACGATAGCATCTTCATACTAGCTGTCGCCCGCAACTCCGTACGCGCGGTATTGAAAACAACTCAATTAGTAGCCTATGTATTCTTCCAGAGTATGTTCATGTTTCAGCAGGATCCGTTCAGTCGTTCTGGAGATACCTTCAAACAAACATCGATCCATCCATCCATCTAAACATTCGCATTTATAATAGTAATTTTGGAATGTAAAATATTTTATGATTTTTTAAACTACGAGTACTTTAGTACATTTATACAACTCCGTTCATTAACGCTTACAAATCATTAATAAAATAGTTTTATGATCTTTAAAATATTTAATTAGGATACACTTCTCAATGACATTATGATATAATGTTGTAAAGTTCCATCCTAAGTAGCACTTACCCTCATTACGGCCTGTTATAATTCCTGAGCGTGAATTCTCATTATAAAGCCAAGTAATTACTCTGTAAGGGTAGCAAAAACATTACCTATTTTATATGTTATTTGTGTTTATTCATCTTTTTCATTTTAATATATGTGTATTAACTTTATTTAATCAGGATTAGTTATTTTCTTATTCGTTTATGAAGCTTTTTTCATATTGAAAACTCTATAGTTCTTTTTCATTAGGTCCCCTTTTCTTGCCTTTTTTTTGCTGTTTTTGGATTGAAAGAACAAAATCTACTGTTTTGTTTTTAAAATTTTATTGATAATCTTACTATTATTATAAATGCGAATGTTTGGATGAATGTTTGTTCGAAGGTATCTCCAGAACGGCTACATAAATCTCGCTGGAATTTGGCACATACCTTTAATCGACGGATGAGAGGATGCATGGAAAGGGAAAATATTTTCTTTCTTTGCATCCTCTCCTCCATCGATTAACAGGCAACGCATATGCAATCGCTTATGTCTATGGGCAACGGTCACTTCGCTATTTCAGCGATTTCAGGGGGCCGCTCGCTCGTTTGCCACCTTATATTGTAAAAAAAACAGACGTAGAACATAGTCTGGAAGAAAACATAGACTACTAATTAAGTTTTTTTTTATGGACGGACGGAGTCGCGGGCGACAGGTAGTTATTAAATAAAAGAATAATAAGCATTCTTTTTTATAAATAAAGCTACTTGTTATTAAATATCTTGTTGACGAAATGACCGTTTTGTTACACACTGCAGACGTGATAACATTTATACCGCCTGGCCAATTAAGATTACGGAGTCAACTCGTAGCTCAAGAATAGAACATTAATTAGTTCAAAGATTATTGTATAAAATATTCCCCTACTCTAATGTTAGAGGGAATAACCTCACAGAACTGTGGTATATTATTATAATTCAAAAAGTAAATAAAAAACACGTTATTTACCACAGAAGGCGGCATATTATTTTTCAATTTCATTTTAAATATTTTTTTCTTCATAAGATCAAATGTTGTTTTGTCAAACCGTCAATAGTAAAATCAAGCAAAAAGATATGTAGGTTTTAGGTTTGATAAAATTTGACATTACTTACTGTAATTACTCTTTTCCTCTTCTGAAAAGAAAGTGTTAAAAAACAACCTAAATTAAGAAACGTTCTGTGTGAGTTGATGCAGGATCGCTCTACATACATTTCAGTTTCATCATCATCAGCTCACTATACGTCCCCACCGAGGGGCTCGGAGCCTACCCTTACTTAAGGGTGATTAGGCCATAGTTAACCACGCTGGCCAAGTGCGGGTTGGTTGACTTCACACATATTTTTGAATTTCTTCTCGGATACGTGAAGGTTGCATCACGATGTTTTCCTTCGCCATAAGAACGTCAGATAAATGTACATATGTAAATCGGAAATCGAAAAAAACACATTGGTACATGGCGGGATTCGAACCCAGGAACTGCAGATTCCAAGTCAAGTGCTTGACCACTGAGCCACCGAAGTTCCTATTTCTGTTTATTCCAAGAAAATAAACATAAAAGTACACATATTTTCCTTTGTTATATGATAACAGGTTAATACCCGTGAGTTAGGTCATTATTAATGATTTATTTTAAATGCTACGAAATGTTTACTTTATAGTTCTTCTTCAAGCGTTCAAGTATTCAGTTCACACTGTAAGTGTCTATATTTATTAATAATTTATTGAAATTAATTCTAGACTATTTTAAAAATATAACAATCGACAATGTGCTTTAAGTAAAAATGAAATTAATATTAAACAAACATAATAGAATTAATATGTAAATTCGATAGTAACAAAGTAACGATTGCTACTAAAGGTGATTTAAAATACATAGATTGCAAAATAATTAACGAGTTAACAAGAAGTGTACTGGCAATAACTTCCTTGTATTCTAGTCTTTGATATTCCTAACTGTGTTTTCAATCGACAGCTATTCTTAATTAAATAATAATTACTCAATTTTTGTTCTCAGATGATTCTAGTTTATTTTGCGGCTATCGCACTGGCCACAGTGCAGGCAGCCGAGGAGAAATGTGATGGCGTCACTATTAACGGACATATGCACACAAAAGAAGTATTAAAAACAAATGTAGACAGCCCATATCAATTTAGTATCGACTACACGACGAATACATTATTCTTTAGCTATTCAACTCATACCAAAGATGAAAGATTTCAGTTGGCATATCTAAATTTGGATAATAAAGAATTTAACACTGTGTCTGCTATTAAAGATGGATTCGCATCAGCTGTTGACCAAGATAAAGGTAAAGTGTATTTAGGAGCTAAAGGCGGTGTTTACAATTTTAATTTAAAAACAAAAGAAGCTAATCTATTAGCATCGACAAGTCAAAGTATATGGCAAATGTTCTACAAAGACGGACTATATTACAGTACTTACCCAAAGGAAGAAGCATATTTATATAAAGACGGTGTAATTAACAGAGTTGAAGAATTAAAAGATACACGAGCTATGCTGATCGCTCTAGATGAGAATAAAAACATCTATTATTCCAATTCGTCTGGTTTATTTAAATATAACAAATCGAATAAGGAAATATTGAATTTAAGCGATGATGTAGTCAATGGCATGAATACAGATGCTAATGGTAAATTATATTTCACATCGCCTAATGGTATTTTTAGAATTAATGATAAATTAAATACTATAGATCGTTTAGTTACATTAGAAAACGTATATGCTGCAGCTATAGAAAAAGATGGCAATATATTATGTGGCACCGATGAAGGAATTGTAAGATTTAAAAAAAATAAATGTCATTTGTAAAATTTGTTAAAAACAGTTCAAATCAACACAGTGCTGGGATAACATTTTGTGTTATAAATATTTATGTTTTTAATATAATCTTATCGTATTATAAAAATAATTGTAATCTTCATGTTTTAAAAACAGTAAATTAAAAAAATAACAAGTTTTTTTTATTTTCGTTCATTCTGCACTTAAACAAAATGATAATAAATATGACTTTACAATCAAAGAGTGGATAACCTTATGGCATATCTTTGTTTGTTCTATATTGACTGACGTTGTATAAAAAAACTAGGTGTAGCCCGCGACTCCGTCCGCGCGGAATTAAAAAAAATTAATAGGTAGCCTATGTGTTAAAGGTATTTATTTAAGAATTATAAAAGTAGTGTTTGCATTATTTACCATGAGTTTCTGAGACTAAAAACTTCCAAAATATATTGTTATCGCTATTTTTTTCAAATATAGGAATGAAAATATGTTTTATAGAGAGATTTTGTTCTCAGGACCCCAAGGATAATCAGCTGCTTATTAACTACTCAATTACTCTTTTCAAGAAGAGTAGGTGTTTTCATTGCTGTTAATTTAATTTGTTGTACAACCATATCGAATTGCGTGGTGACACGAAACTTGGCACGATACTTCTCACAATGTTGCAGAAATACGGGATACATGTATTCTAGGACAGCGTGATCCAAAGTTGGGAATAAATGGTGCAGTGTGTGATGCCCGAAGAACGTCATAACTCTGAAGAAACTGGTGTTGATGTCTCGACGGTCCATGACTGCCTCTACTTCATGAAGACCCCAGTCACGAGTGACATCACTAAAAATGAGAAATTATGATTTGATGATAAAAACGAGGTTCCATATTTTTACTGTTACATGTGTAAGATCTTACTGTTTTGATGCAATGCAAAAAAAAATAGGTCCTGGTACAGATTGTACCGACCCGTTTATTTTGCAAATCCTGTTGCTAATTTTCAATAGGTCTACAATTTTCCTGGCTGAACAAGATCTAATTACTTATTGCATGCAATTTCCTAGTAAAGAATCAAGAACTTTAAAAACTTACTCGACTTCATCGCCATCTCTAAAGCAAATTGGATGGTGGTGAGCAGCGTTTGATCCAATGTTGAAGAATATAAAACTAGCAGTGCAAATAATCCATAGCCACATTATAAATGCATCGTAAAAGCTGCAGCCGCTTATAACCCACATCCAGACCGGTGTTAGGAAACCAAGAACATCGTGCCATCGATAATGATTCAAGAAGAAATCTTTACGCAAAAAGTTCAAAATTAACCTAAAATATTGAAAAAAATTAATTGTGGTAAAATATTGTAAGCATCTTACAACGAATTGAGAAATGATTATCAAGGGACAAACATTTGAAAGAAGTATTAATCTAAAATTCTGCAGAAATTACCGTTTTAAGAAATTAACTGGGAAAATAAGTCCGAATGTTGCTAATTCGATGATGATGGCAAATTTTCCGTAGAATCGATTTTTCAATGGCAACCAAAAAACGAATGGCTCGAATCCACTTATTTCCAAATCCATAAGAGTATTCGGGTAAAGGTGGTGAGATAGGGCGTGGGAAACTCTGAAATCTCTGAAAAAAAAACAATTAGGTTAGAAATGTCCTCAAATAAAATAAATAGCGACATAAACATCACAAATGCCAAATACCTGTAAGACCATAAGCTGAAGTTAAAAAGATACATCCTCCAATTCGTTTTTTTATGAATATAATTATGAGCTGCAACCGTGAGCCAAGCTAAACTTAAAGATGCTGATAAATATGATGCCATAATTATCCAATAACTCTTGGATATACATGATATAGCGCAAGATATCAGGAAAGCAACAAATAATCCATCTATAATCCTATCAGTTCTTTTGTGTATGTGCTTCGGCGTCTTTTGGAGTTCCGTCCAAACCGCTCGTTTCAATGAACGGAAAAATCCGTCATCTTTGAAAGTAAAAGGTGAGTTTCTTGGCGTTTTTGCTTTTTTAACATAGTATTTTTCCAGTACTTTGTTGACAGCTGGATTCAGATGGTGACATTCATAGGCCTCTGTTATGTCTGTTCCCTGTAATTACATCAACGGCATACTAAATTAATTCAATGACTTCCAAATTTATGATGACAAGACTATGTAACAAATAAGTTAACAAACTATGATCAAAAATTTTATTTTCCTGCTGTTATAGAGAAAACATGTAACGTGCGTTTTTAGGAACCAGTTTTTACCTTTGTTAATTCTAGCCATTCTGCACCTCCTGGATGAATTTGAAGAAAAGGTTCAAGGTCATACAATCCATCGTGTACCCTCCAGATACCCTCTGCACCATCATCCATAGCTTTTCCTGTTAACCATTGCACTGGATCTCTTAGGCCATCGTCTCTGAGCGAAGGGTACACCAACTGAGGGAAACTGACGTGGGTTTTCTTTTCCTCGGCTCGTTTTGTAGCAATGGCCAAATATTCACTATTAGGCGGCATTGCTAGAATTATGTAAGTTTGCGAATCCTATAGTAAAATTCGTTATGAACTGTTGTTTACACATTGGAACATTGGCTTTTATACTTATGAACCTAACCTCCCTAATATCATTAAAATATATAAACAAACACTAAAGATATCAACGTTATATCATCGAAATTGTTTAATAAAATTTGAAACTTTGGGTTAAATATGTCCACAATAATGTTGTTTTGCTTATCGTTTTTACTAATTCTACATTCCTTATAAATTCCAGCGTTTTGAATACACTAAGTCTTAATAATCTAAAAAGATGAAAATTTGCAGATTTCTGAATTACGATTTCAATCTTAAAAGTATATTAATTAATTACACTTTTAACTTTTTAAACTGGTTTATAATAAAACTAGCTGTCACCCAAGACTCCGTCTGCGCGGAATTAAAAAAAAAATTAATGAGTAGCTTATGTGTTCTTCAAAACTATGTTCTACATCTGTGCCAAATTTCATCAAGATCCGTTTAGCCGTTCCGGAGATATCTTCAAACATCCAAGAAGTGATACTTTGAATATTGTGGTTGAATTTTAATTTTATTATGATATTGCTAGCTAATTCTATCTACATTTAATTTTGATGTAGTAATATAGGAGCGACGTTATCGTATAATATTGTTGATACTAATTGCGTTTCTATGAAGAGTAAGATAACTTTAATTAATGACCTGAATAGTTAACTGTCTTCAACAGATCCAATTTGTACTATTTCCTAATCGAACGGTTGTCGTACTAATATTGCTTAAACAAATTTTATTCATTTTATAATTTCTTAATGTCTAAATATTGTATAGTGTTGTGATACCATTTTTTTTAAATTATATTTAAAGGTGGCTATGAAATCTAAGTGGGATGAAATCGCAAATGCTCGGGCTAGGGATAAGAAAACTCATGTTAGCTTTCCCCAATTGAAATATCCATCTCTGAGAGATACTGGCATGAGAGATCCTATACAATGGCTAACAGGTAAGGCATTAGATGACGGAGCAGAAGGTCTATGGCGAGTTCACGACAAATTGTACGACGTAACAAGTTTCCTAAACAAACATCCTGGAGGAGAAGAATGGCTGGAATTAACAAAGGTAAGGTTTTTTGTTTTACATTCGCAGTCATTGCCAAGGATGGTCAAATTTTTACTTGTTGAAATTTTACTTTGGATTTAAAAAACTGCAAAATTGAAATCTGTTTTTTTTTACTGCTTACTTTTTTAATAATTTTAATATGTTATTCCTTTTCCCTATTTCAGGGAACCGATATAACAGAAGCTTTTGAATCTCATCATTTAAATCCGGCAACCGAAAAAATCCTTGAGAAATATTATGTAAGAGACGCGAAGACCCCGCGTAATTCTCCGTTCACCTTTAAAGATGATGGATTTTATAGGACCTTAAAAAGAGAAGTTTATAAAGAACTATCAAAAATCCCGAAACATGTTTCAAGAACAGCCGATTTAATAACTGACGGATTATTTTTATCTCTTCTATGTTATTCTGCATTGGCATGTTGGGTTGAAAATTATTGGCTAGCTCAGTTGTGGTATATTATCGCATCTATATGTTTGGCATTACTGACTGTAGCTTGTCATAACTTCATCCACCGCAAAACTAACTGGAGAATGTTTCTTTTCAATCTCACTATGTCGTCATACAGGTAAGCGATGACTTTGTGCACCCTGTTGATTAAGTCAGTGTATCACTTTTTAAAAGGCCCAAAAATTGTTGTTTCCACAATATGTTTTAACAGTGGTAGAGCCCGCTTTAACATCTTCGCACGAATTGACCCGGCTCGCCCGGTGAAATACCACGACCATACAGAAGACGTGAAGTGGAAGCAATTCTGCTTTTCCTCTGATGAGTGTGCGTTCCGGAGGCCTAACTTAGTCCTCTTTCCCTTCCTACCATTTTTCTTATAAGAAAAGGAAGGGAAGTGGAAGTGGACTTTCCGGACGAGAGGATGCATGGAAATGTTTTCTTTCTGTGCATCCTCTCCTCCGTCGATTAAAGGTAGGCAACGCATATGCAGTTGCGTATGTCTATGGGCAACGGTAACTATGCTATTTCAACGATTTCAGGTGACCGCTCGATCGTTTTTCTAATAATCTTTTTATTTAATAGTCTAAATTTAGTTCAAACATTTTTGAACTTTCAGAGATTTCCGAGTGTCGCATGTATTATCGCACCATTTATATACAAATACTCTAATGGATTTTGAAATCAGCTCCTTAGAACCAATCCTGCAATATAATCCCAGAAAAAATAAGCCGGTGTATGCTAGACTCGGTTTTATTACTGAATTTTTATTTTTTCCATTCATATTCTTTACACTTTTTATTAAAAGGTTTGTTTTGTGTGTTTAATTTTATATGTTTAAATTCTTTATTTTTCTCTCTCACTTTTTATTTATAATCTAATTTGTATTTTAGAAATACTAATTTGTTGTTAGATTACGAAAACATAAACAATATGTCTTTGAAATACGTTATTATGCAATATACAATTTACAATTGATTTATTAATAGCCATAATAATAAAAAAAAAAAACTTAACGTTATTTTTATGACATTACTCAATGTATTTACATCTATAAACTTATGTAAATTTAAATAATTCACTTTTGCAGGTTTATCTCTATATTTATTAGAGAAGATTTTTTAAGGAAACACTATAGCTGGCATGATTGCCTAGGATTTCTTTTGCCATTGTGGATGTGGCTTATTACCGGCAGTCCTATAACCAAAGTTTTATACGTTTGGTTTTGGATCATATGCGCGGGAAGTCTGCTTTTTCATTTAATTGGAGTAAATGCTGCGCATCAACATCCAGATGCTATAAAGGACGGTGATCAGCCAAGGTTAAATAAAATATGACTCATCTAACGTAGTTTGTCATTAAGTAATTGGTTTTGTGTTAATCTTCATCAAGTAATTAGTCTAGATTAATTAAGGCGCCTAATCTGTAATGAGCCAGCAAAGACTAAGGCATATTCATTCCAAAATTAGTTGAGGCTTGAACCTCTCGGTGGAGCCGGAGAGGTGACGTCATTTTAAAGAATCCTTATGTTTATTTCTGGAATTACTGTACTAGCATTAACTGATTTGGAAGACGGAAACCTGCTGCACTGACCCTACATAAGTGGGACAAGGACAGGGAGATGATGATTATTGTTTCTGGCAACTTTTAAATCTAATCTTTTTGGCTCGTGAAGTATCTATTAATAGTTTTCCTACTTTTGAAATGTTGACTTGGTAGTAACAATATTTTAAAAGTTTTATCCCTTTTCAGAAATGAAACCCCTGACTGGGGTGAGCATCAAGTGGAGGCACTTATCGATAGAAAGGACATAAACAGGAATACGTTTGCAGTAGTGACGCTCTTTGGCGAGCATACCCTCCACCACATGTTCCCGACACTCGACCATCTAGTACTCAAATACTTACGTCCACTTTTCTTACAGATATGTGATAAATATAAAGCTAAATACAGGGTGTCCACACAATTTGAAATGGTAATCGGTCAGATAAAGGAAACGATGAGAACCGAATATAAAAGCATTGATTGATTATAGAAATTATTTTGAATATTTTTAAATAATATGGAAATAACAAATCGTTAGTATATTTAAAAAGGGTTACCTATTGTAATAAACATAATTAATATATGTAATTCTTAAAAGCATTCTTTTATCCAACACCCTTTACATGGTACAAGTGACAAAAAAGTGTATGTATTTAACTTAGTTATAAAGATAAAAAGGTACGGAAGCACTAACATATGCGGCAAGCATGGGGGTACAGTCAGCGTCATATAGATCGTCACAGACAAGATATGCAAATATATAGGTACACCAAAAGTAATCAATTATATCGGTACAACAAAAGTCCTCAAAATAATAGATACATTCACCCTGCTCAAATACATCGGTACATACACAGCGTCAAATATATGAGTACATGCAAGATGCTCATAAATATCGTAGCAGCCACAGCGTCATAAGTAACGAAGCAGTCAAGGTGCGCAAAAATATCGGTACATTTGACAAAATTGAACTCTATCTCTACATACTTGTGATACAATTTGGAATAAACTACTTCTGTTACATTCATTTGACACTTTGTATTAACATTATAGGTTGTCCGGAAAGTTCGTTCTGATTTTCGATATAAAGCTTACAATAGACTGTAGCTGAAGTGGATTCATTTTCGGATTTCCACCATTATCAAACGTCACAAAAATTTCTATATTGTGAATAATTTCATTTCATTGGTTGAGATAAAAACTAATTTTTAAAATTTTATCCAATAATAAAAGACGTTTTAGGTATAGAGTCGTACCAATATAATTTAAAAACATTTCCAAAAATTTAAGAGAACAGGGTTTCAATTTTCCTTATAAAGCGGCACGAACTTACTGGGCAACCCAATATTTTTCTTCTCCTGTCATAACGCTTAAATATAAAAGTTTGTCACGCCGAATATGACAGATACGTATTAACTAATATCAAATTTTGCCTTGTCACAATATATATAATACTAGTTTGGCGCAGTATTCTAGTATGTTTGCCGTAATATGTAAGTTTACCGGTTCGAATCTCAGGCTACTTTTTTTCATTTTATCAATCACGGGGTTATTTTTTCATAACCAGTAAAAATTTGGTAATGTAAAATTTTGCTCGACAATTTTTTTTTTTATAATTTTCGCTGTCGGGTAAAAAGAAATTTAAATAAAGTTAACAACAATTAGGTCATACCATCGCGGGTGAAGTGAGTGGGCGGAGCGTGGATTGTCTTTGCGGGTTTTAAGAATGGTACGCGCGGAAACTATACGTACAAGTGTTATCTAGATATGTGTGCGCGCCCACGCACACTGGAATGTTTATTGCAATCGACCAAAAATTTGATGTAGTTTGGATATTGACATTCAGTTTTTTTCTTTGTTTCTTAAATATAATCAGTATCAGTAAAAGGTAAAAGTAAAAGTGTTATTTTTACAGGTACAAGTTTAACAAACATGAGTAATAAACAAATTACATGCCAATAGCATCGCTTTATCTCCTTCATTTTTGTTTGAAATAGAAAAGTACTTTAACGGTCAAACTCATTAGTCCAAGGCAATATCAAAAAGTACCTAATAACTACGACGATAGAGTTTAATTACATGTGCTTCCATATTAAAATTAAAAAGTTTAAATAGCAAAAAAAAATAGTGGCTTGGGATTTGAACCGTCGACCTTACGTACCAACGGCGGCGAACCAAACTAGCATATATGATGACAAACTAAAATTTGATGTTGGTTTTATCTACCTAATATCTGTCATCCGCGTCGAACACTTTTAGTAAATTTTGAGAAATGGTTTGATGCAAAGTGTCAAATGAATGTAACAGAAGTAGTTTATTCCAAATTGTATCACAAGTATATAGAGATAGAGTTCAATTTTGTCAAATGTACCGATATTTTTGCGCACCTTGACTGCTTCGTTACTTATGACGCTGTGGCTGCTACGATATTTATGAGCATCTTGCATGTACTCATATATTTGACGCTGTGTATGTACCGATGTATTTGAGCAGGGTGAATGTATCTATTATTTTGAGGACTTTTGTTGTACCGATATAATTGATTACTTTCGGTGTACCTATATATTTGCATATCTTGTCTGTGACGATCTATATGACGCTGACTGTACATGGAAAAAGTTTACGTTATTCACAATGCCAAATGGTCGCCGGATGCTACATTCATTTGTTGAGAGCTTGATGAATAATACATTTCTGCGTCTCTGCTTCGTTTCAGTTTTATGAGGATAGAAAAAAATCTTTATATATCAGGTTAGAAAATTTGCTCTATTACAATCACAACAGGAAGGATCTCAAATATCTCTCATATATGTACTCGTATTAAGTAGGCGAATCTCCTTATTGATATACTAGAACCGTTAGTATACGTAGTTTTATTGCCATACAAAAAATATAATTTACCAGCAGTGGTTGTCCGCGACTCCGTCCGCGGGGAATAAAAAAAAAACATAATGTGTTCTTCCAGACTATGTTCTTTATGTATGCGAAATGTTGTCGATTAGCCGTTTTGGAGTTACCATCAAAATACCTTTTTGAGAAAAAAGTCATCTTACAAATATAATAAATGCGAATATTTAGATGGATGGATGGGTTTTTGTTTACTAAATATTCTTGTTTGTGAAATAATACAGGTGTAAAAATGTACATCACGCACAACAGAATTTTCCGAAGCGTCGATCCCAGGTAGGTGGATCACAGTAAAAGCGATAGAATGTCAATTTTTAAAAACAAACGACTGTCGAAAAACATTACGTATTGAAAATTGGTGCAATTTGTTGAATTTATGTTCCCCCGGTGCGCCATAAAGATATATGAATTTATGTTTATTTGTCGTGATTCATTTTTATATACAATCTTATGTTAGATTTAGTCCAAAAAATTATAAAAAATTCCCATTAATCTAATTTAATTAATCGTAACATATTCGCGAGTCCAGAGAAGAAAATTTGACTTAAATTTAATTCACGAAATTTAGCTTTGTTTCTTTTGGGGTTCATGACAATCTTTCAATGTTCTTAATAAGTGTTTTGACAAATATTTAATTTAACTGATTGGATGGGAAATGATATAGACATTCATTTCCCATAAATTATCAAACTGAACCTGCATCAGTCGACCGTCCGCAAATTGAACACACCAGTAGATTTACGATGCACCCAAAATGTAAACAAAAGACAGGTAATTCGAACATTATTCATGGCGATGTGTCAGAATTACGTCATGTAAAAATTCAGCGAAATACATGTCCCCAGTTTGGCATTAAAATAAAAACGTTTAACATTTTTACGCAGAGCTTCTGCCCCAATTTTCTAAAAGCTTTTGCGGATATACATTAATTATCGAAAAGTGCTCATACTTGGTAAAAACATAGTATCTTTTATAAACATAACTTGTTAAAATTCGTATATTTTATTTTTTGGTTGCTATAGAACATTGTGATATCGTCATCATCATCAGCTCACTATACGTCCCTACTGAGGGGATCTGAGACTACCCTAAGTTGGGGATGACCACGCCATAGTCAACCACAATGGCCCAGTCCGGGTTGCATGACTTCACACATCTTTGAATTTCTTCTCAGATATGTGCCGGCGTCACGATGTTTTCCTTTACCGTAAGAACGTCGGATAAATGTGCCTACGTAAATCGGAAATTGAAAAACACATTAGTACATGGCGGCATTCAAACCCAAGACCTACAGATTGTGAGTCAAGTGCTAAACCCCTGAGGTCTATTTAACTAAACTGTTGTCAAAGCATGTTGCATATTAAGTTTAAAAGTATTTGAAAGTTGGATGAAACCTTATTCAATTAAGTGCTATTGAAAAGGTATTGAAAATTCATGACTAGACAACTACGTGACCGAACAAAGAGAAACTTAGTAAGTATTAGTTTCATTCAGAATAGTGTGCAAAGTGAAGGCACTCGATCCAACTATTTTTCTCAAAAGCAAACTTTAAGGAAATTAACCACATATAAGACATTTTCTCCTCTTTTGGTTCGGTATTTTTACATTTTTAAAGGTTTTTTTTAATCTAAAACGTAGCTCCTTTTTTCAAACGTTTGCTTGCTGGATGGTTTATTTTAATCCACTTTTCCTTCCTACCATTTTGTTATAAGGAAATGACGGGAAAGGGATTTGGCTGAGAATGGGATATATAGGAACGGGAAATATCCTTTTTCTGTGTAACCCGACCACCGTTGATTACAGGTAGGCAACGCGTCTACAACTGCATGATGATGATGTTCATGGATAGCGGTCGATTCGCTATTTCGTCGAATTACAGGTAACTGCTCTCTAGTTTTCTAACTTTAACATTAATAAAAACAGATTAACCAAGTGATGCCATATGGCTTCATATATGACTTTTAGTATTTGATGAAGAAAATTGCGTTGTCGCGTTTTAACGCGATTTTATGTCTAGAAAACATGAACGTTGATTTAATATTTATTTTAACAAATGTCGTACTGTTGAATTGGATGTTCGCCAACTCTTATAATAATATATTCAGTGCAACTAGGACAATGATAAGATTGCTTGCAGACGATGAAATTGTTTTTCTTTGCAACGTTTGCTTTAAACTTTAATTGCTGCAATTGCTGAGACTAATTTTATATTTAAAATTCTCGTGTCACAATTTTCGTTCCCGTACTCCTCCGAAACGGCTTGACCGATTCTCATGAAATTTTGTGAGCATATTGAGTAGGTCTGAGAATCGGCTACTATCTATATTTACCGCGCAAACAGAGACGCGGGCTACAGCTAGTATATCATAAAATAATTATAATGAATGCAATTACTTTAAATTCATATCATCATTATTGTGCTTCTTCCTTAAGGAGGACTATGCTCCGAAACATTTCTTTTAGCCATCATTACTGAATTCACTGCCTTCTTCCGCATACCTTCTTTCGTATAATCCATATTGCTATAAGTCTTCAAATGAATCTTTTCTATTTTTGTGACCGTCCACAAAAAATCAATATAAATACATAATTTCCGATAGTAACTATGTTTTCAAGAAGGTTCAAATGCGTTTATCACCTTTTCCTTCAAATCATGTAAGTAGATTCCTCGTCTAAGTTCAAAACATATACTCTTTCAGAAGGACATTGGTTATAAACAAATTATTATAATAAATAACCAATACTAATTCCATATTAGGTACAGAAATCTTGTTTGTTATTGATGACATTTGATGTCCG